GGTTTAGGGTTTAGGGTTACGAAACCTGTATAATATTAAACAGGATGCACCCTATGATGATGAAAGGAGATGAAAGGGATAAGTACTTGGGAACCCAGTCTTCCAATTCCAAGCCCTTTATGCAAACCCACAACTCTCTCTCTCTCTATCTCTCTAAACCTTAAAGACCTTGGATGTAGGGGTCGAAATATGAACTAATACTACCCCCTGTTAGTCCAACCTACAGTCATACAAGCACTCTAATGTACTCCGGAACCGCATTCCAATCGGAAAGATAATAGAATTCTCACAGTAACCCTTGTAGAACCCTTGTAGAACCCTTTAAAGAAACCCACTCGACTCATAATAAGAAACCCACTCGACTCATAATACACAACCCATTGAGGGGATACAAGTGAACCGATTATAAGCCCTTGGTAATTCCCTTGAAAAAAGCCCCTAAACCCCAAAGCGTAGCCACCAAAAACGCACTAAACCCTCAACCCTCCGAGCGTGAGCGCCGGAACCCGAAACCCTAAACCCCAAGCCCTTGCTGGGTCGGGGACCAAGGTGAAAAAGATACCCGGAAAGGCTCTGAGACCTACAGTGCTTAGGGCTTGTCGTGGCTTGAGGGCTTGTGGTTTTGAAGGTTTGGACCTTTGGACTTTAGGGGTGTAGGTTTTTGGGTTTTTGGGTTTGAGGGTGTAGGTTTTCGCGGGTGGTTTACCGTGAAGCTCAATGGCTGATGCAACGACGGTTTAGGGTTTAAGGTTTCCGGCAGTCTTCCGAACACGAGCATTCGTCATGTCTGGCCCGAAGTGCAATCATTGGTTGCGAAATGTTGTTGGCCTGACTCGGGGATGTGTTTGAGTTTTTCCTGGATTCTCCTCAGGATTTGTTTGTAGTGCTTGTTAGAAGATTGTGAAGTCCCAAACCTTGGCTTCCCTGCTCAAGAGGCTGTAGTTCTTGATGTATATGTGGTGTAGTTCCCGACACCGGACGCTTGCTCGGTCTGGTTAGCAAATCGGGGCCCGCAGTTTGAGAAACCTAAAACTACATCTGGTTTCGAGCTTGCTTCGGGTGTGACTCCTCTGGGCTGTGATCAACTTGGATAACAGCAGGTCAATCGCTGATCTGTCCTTATCCAGCACCAAGGACATCGTGCCCTCTACAGCATAGTGAACGGAACTTGGTTGTGACAGTTGTGACGTGAGAATGTCGTAGACAATCAGCAGAGTGCCCTAAACCCGAAATCGTGAGCAATTACCAGAGCAGGCACTCAAAGCTTTGGTCGAGCACGTCGATGAAGTGGACCTTCGGCTGTGACTTGAGTGTTGTTGTTCCCGGCGTCTCTTTTCGTCATGACCTGCTGCCCGGGCAGCCGTAACACAAGATCTGTTACTTCGTCATCATCATGATCATCTTGCTCTTTAAGGAAAGGTACCGAGCTGCTGAGACGGAAAGAAGCGATGCCAACCGCAAAGCCAAGCACGATAACCACAGTCGCGAACTGCGCATGCCGCCATCGAAGAAGATGCAAGCAGCCTGTCGTCAGCAACGTGTTACCGAGGATCTTCGCGAATTCGCAATATTCACATCGGGCGTATCTACCGTAGAATACTGCCTTGCCTGCCAAGGTTTATTCAATTTCGCCACGCCTGATGACACAATATCTCTATCATGAGACATGTGCATTTCCAGAACATTGGAGAACCCTGGGCTGGGAACTTATTCCATGCCCTGCTAGCTTAAGCGACAGTGGCTCTGCATTGCCACATCGGACTTCAGCTTTGAACTATATCATTTGGGCCTAATGAAGCCTTCAACCACCAAAAAGCAGACACTATGCCATCCATTGCCTTGAGACATGGCGTTCCAGGTTTGTGGCATCAAGTAAGACCGGGACCTCGCAACATGCTTTTTCAGTGGGTTCATCATGTCGTTATTGCCACGGGTCTATGTGTGTCTAATGGCGGTCCCAGCTGGCATGAGTTCCGTGAATTGGCCGCTGATCGTCAGCTCTGGGCTAGTCATCAACAGGCTGTGGCGGATCTGTACTGCCAGACACCTCATTATGCAAAGACTTCTACTGACTGGGTTAAGTGGAGACATGCTCTTACTCATGAGTGCCACTGGGGATTGTGTTTGTTCGTGCACTGGAGCCCAGAGTCTGTGACTGCCATCTGGCTGGATGTCACAGAAGGGTGGCAGAGCTTGTCCGTTGGGTCCGCTTCGGATATATTCCATATTCTGGAAGTTGTGCTTCGATATCTGCGCTATGTAGGCAGTTGGCTTTCCTTTCAGGTTCTCCTCCCGCAAGATACCTTTGAACTCTTCGAGCATACTTTGTATGATGTCACTTCCAAGTTGTATGCAAAATATCAGAAAGTCGTCTCGTATCAAGTTGTGCCTGAAGCTTGGAGCCGCGAAGTGGCCAATCTCGCATTGCAGTCATGAGTACTGTATTGTGGGTCAAGCTGGGCAGTAAGGGCAGCAGTCGAGTCCCTTGTGAAAAAAAAACCACCAAAAAGCCACAACCACCCAAAGCCTAAACCCGCCACGTCGATGCGGCCAAGGAAGCGGCGAGCACTGCTTTGCGGCGGTACATTAGCGGGGAGGCCGCATGACTGCGGGACGTTGCAGATGCCTTGATGGCATAGAGGCTTAGAGTTAGGTAGTGGTAGTCTGAGTCCGAATCCAGGAATCCAGTTGCAGGAGTTAGAGTCAGTTAGGCACGTATGTGTTGTACGTAGGTCTTCAGGTCGAGGAGCAGGTCCGTCACTATGTATAGGTCGGCAAATGGCGGGGCAGTCTGTCAGCATTTGTTTTCTGCTGGCATATACTGATGTATGTATATGTCATACTCCTGTAGTGAGACCAACGTGTCCGATTGTTTGGTACACCTGGTGTTTCGGAGCACAGATCAGGTCGGAACACCGTATGCTGGTTCGAAGCATGGCCGGTAACCATGGTTTCAGAACCCTGAGACTCTTGGCTCTTGGCCGTTGCCGACCTAAACGCAAGAGCAACCCTGAAATCCAAACTCCGCGCCGCACCCCTGGCTGATGCTCCGAAATGAAAGGGCAATAGTTGAGGGAAGACCTTGCCGGTGAGCTTCCCGATCCCGCGTGAAAACCCAAGCTTCGCCTGACGAGTCAAAGCGTCGTCAAGACTTCCATCACATCGAAACCCAACAAACCCTAAAGCCGTGCTTTTTAAGTGTGAGTGTGCGAGTCGAAACCCCAAGTAGGCGGCAGTTGAGAATGGGGTCCTAGCATGTGAGTCCTGCCGATCCTACTGTGGCCAGTGTGCTGCACTTCGCACCGAAGACTCGACTGCATCGTCCGAGTCGCGAGAGTCCAAAGTAGCAAGTCTCACTCAGCCTCGCCTGGGCAGTCCGAGTGTGAGCACGGAACCCCTACTTTAAGATCCTGACGAAACCTACCCAAACCGTATAAGCCCTATAAGCCTTAAGCCAGGACGTCCCTCCGGATGACGCCGGAGAGAATCCTTGGTCTTCGAGCTCAGAGCTGCTCGTTATCAGGAGTTAATAGGGTGATAGGGTTAGGGCCGGTTAGGATTTAGGTTTAGGGTTTAAGGGTTTAGGGCTTAGGGAATCATGGTGTGTTCAAGGTTATTAGGGTGTCGGGGGACTAGGTTTTGGGGTTTGAGGGTGGATAGTTAGATGTCGCAACCTACAGTTTTTTCACGGGTCGTGGGTTAGGGGTTGAAGTGTTTGAGTGTTGCGCTGTTTGACGTAACTCTGGCCCCATGGTCTCCGTGTGGCATTGTAGACTACGTACGTCTTCTGGTCTTCTGAACTATGTTTGGCCGTGTCGCCCTACGTTTTCATGTACGCGTTGCAGGCAGTATCGGAGGCTATCCCTCAGCATAAGTCTGACGAACTCCGAGATCGCAGTCTGCAACCTCAGCACTAAACCATCAACTACAAAGCCTCTTCACTACACTATGCCCCTACACCCCAAAAGGCCCCAAGGCCCCGAACCCAAACCTCCAGACCTCCGACAGGGATTCGGGCGATTCCAGTGACGGAGATGGCGAGTCCTCCAAGGGCCGCCGCAAAGGCAAGAGGCGCGGCCGAGGTTTTACAGGGTTTAGGCTTTAGGGTTTAGACTGAAAAGGGTTTAGGGTTCGGGGTTTGAGTCAAATTTGAGGTTTAGGGTTTGTGGTCTCGGGTTTAGGCTTCCAGGCTTGGTGTTTTTATAGGGCTCTGCAGTGCCGTGCTAGCTTGCAAGCGCGGATCATTGGCTTCTGCGGGGTGTTCCTGGCGTTCGGCGATTGCATGGCCCTGAAGTCTGAATGCTTTCGATTTCTGTGTTGGCCTGGAGCTCGGAATCGTTGAGCCTCTTCGGCGTGGATTGACGATTCCGTTGCTCATGCAGAGTTCGCTCCGGTCACAGCGCGCATGTAGCGATAGGTCCTACACCTCGAGAGCAATGCAGGGCGTCTACAGCAATAATTAACTGTACAGAAATTGCAGGGGAACCGGATGGGCGTAATACTGTGGTTTTTTAAAGGACAAAGATCGAGAGTTTAATTGGCATTGACGATCGTAAGGACTGTAACCATGCAATGTAACCATGCAATTGCACTATTCACTAGGGCTCCAGCAGACAAGTACTGCTGCTGCTTCTGCTGCTGCTGCAACTACTCCTGCTGCTACCAATATAGTCATAGTCTACTACTGGTGCCAATCACGTCCAACTGATCGAGTCCTCGACTGCATCTAGTCTTTCCACCACGGCGAAGTGCAAAGGATACCGCATGGGATGTGAAACCCCGGTTTCAGAGTGCATGCCGTGACCGAGGCGAGAAGAGGATGGAGCTCAGAGCGATACTTCCGGTGACAGCGATGAGGGTGGCTCTGCTTCTCACAGGTCCCTGAAGCCTGCAACGGAGGACGGGAACTCGGCTTCAGCATCCAGTGCTGTGGGAGATGTGCAAGGCGACGGGGACGCCGACAACACGGCGAGCTTCGAACCCTCTGCGTCCAAAGGCGATGCAGAGACGTTGCTCTGGCCCAAAGACGATTCCAGCGATTGGGGCAGCAGCTCAGATTCCGATGTTGCAGAGGGTGATGCGAAAAAGGCTGGCGTCAAGAAGAGTCTCGGCACGCATTCCGGCGTAGATGCACGCCGAGTGAACCGAGACAAGGCCAGGGCAGGGGGTTTTCTTCAAGATCCTGGGGTCCTGTTACCTTTGCAGCGGGTTCCTAGTCATAGAGCATGTATATCTCAGTAATGTTAACTCTTGATTAATAAACCCCCCCCCCCGTGAGATGTAACTTGGG